AAAAAAAAAAAAAAAAAAAAAAAAAAAAAAGCCAATGTGAAATAGGTATGATCCTAAAATAAATACTCAGAATCAAGAAATACTCATTTATAATTTTAAATACTTTATATTGAGATGAATCATGGCTTTGTTTCAATTATATATAAACAGTTTACTAAAAAATTTTAAAGTTCTTTGAAAAACCCTGTTTTCTTTTTTATTTGCATCTCACATATTAAGAAGTTCGTCATTTTCTTGCCCTTCTTAATTCCTCTTTTCTCCCCTCCCTCTTTTTTCCTGAATGCAAAATACATGTGTTAAAACATTATTGATTTTTAAATAGAAAATGTGAAGTATCAGGCACTTCTCTTAGAAGATTCCAGAACACACAAGAGAAGGTTTTAGCAGAACTGGCATCATGCCCAGTCCCATGGCTCAAAGACAATTTTAGATGCCCCAGGATCAATGGTTTCTGTGGGCTCCAGTGGATGTATCCACACTGGGGAATGTATGAAACTTATTTTGATTCACATAAACCTCAGAAGATTTTGCGCCAGTTATAAAACAATTTTAGGAATGTCCTAAATACAAGTGACTACAGAATTACTCGGATGGCCTGAATATCAGAAATCCTTGTGACCTTCATGTGTCCTCAACTCTCTGAAGCTAGGTTTACTCATTCTGTTTTCATGGCAGGAGTCTTTTTAGCCAACATAAAGCACTGGAAACAATGATCATTGCTGATGCTCTACCGTATAGTTGCAAAGTATATTAAAAATGCATCCCGCGCTCCATCATTTGCAAGATTATTTGTGATGACTATTAAGTGCATAGTAAAATGTACGTGGCTTAAAATGTGTCACATTGTAACAATCAGCCTTCTGATATTTGTATCATGTATATAAAATAGAGGACATGTTTGTCAGCATGTGAGGATCCTGGGAACTTTGTACCTAGAGTTAAAGTAGGCACAAAACGGCCATGATATCACGGACAAGATATTTCAGGAATGTGGGACTTAGCGATGGAAGATCTGAATTCAAGACCCAGCTTTCTCCCTTACTACTTTTGTGACCTTGGCCAGTCACTTAACCTCTCTGAGCCTTGTTTCCATTGTTTGAAGATGGTGGTATTACCTCCTATTTCAGTGGGTTGTTGTGGATTTTGTCATTTGTTCATATTCTGTGTTATTCCACAAAGGATTTGAAATGAAATGTGTATATTTGGACATAAAATGCGTTTGCCGGTGCTTTGTAGATTATACAAATATAAGCTACCTGCCATAACTATTGGGGCCATTTAAATTCCTGGGGAGCTCTATCCTTAGAATGAGAGTGCTTCTAAGCAGATGTTCCAGAGACTTCCATTTAATAATTGCCAATAAAACAAGTATTTATCTATGTGTTACATAGACTGGTTACAGATGCCAATTTAAAATAAACCTACAAGGAAAGAAGACCGTCCAAGACCTTTTGATTGAAGACCATTTGCAATTAATAAAAATATCAGATTCTCACTTACTTAGTGCTTATTTCTCATGAATACATAATTGAAAAGACTATAATGACAAAAAGCTCTTAAGGATTAAGTAACTTTTCCCAATACATTCGTATCTTGTTCATCATAAAAATATATATACACAACATTTGAGAAAGATTACAACTCATAGGTGTGAGTCATTTTTATTCAGCTTAAAGATGATGCCTTTGTTGCACTTAGAATTGGTGGATACCTCGCAATTACACAGGGGCTTTGAAATGTCAGTGGCCTACCAGTTCCTGTGATTCCTTTTATTTATTCCTTTGTTAAAGTGAAATGGAACCTTAAGGACAGAAGCTACTGGCTATCTGGCCACATCCTCTTCAGTTCCCATGGCTTAATTTTACCTAGGGAGGAATTACTGGGTTTGCTGGGAATCGCTGCAAGGTTAGACCCCTTTTCTCTTTTATCCTATATTTTAAGCTCCTTTGATTTTTTTTTCCTCTAGTATCTATATACTAGGCTGATCTATCTATAGGCTATCTATAGGCTATATCTATAGGCTCTCTATACTTGGCTGATAGTAAAACTGTTAATCTGTTTCATTTTGTCTGATAAGTATGCTTCCTTTTCCTCCTTTTCTATAACAGTTGTCTAGGGAAGTTTATTCAGTGTGCCTCTGTGGTTTTTTAAATTCAAAATAAACTAGTATTTCCAAAATATTGAAACTTTTGAAAACATTCACTTGACATTATAGTTCGTATCACACAGAAAAATTATGAAAATCATGGAATAAGTCTTTCCCCCTCCTTCATACTACACAAAACTCTATTTTCAGTGAATACATGAGGAATACAGCCTTGATAAGAGCTTTCCAATAAACATTATATTCAATAATTATAATTTCTCTGGAAAGTAATAGTTAAGAGTTTGAGGACCCACATGCACGAGAGAGAATACACTTCAGTGGTTTAAATGCTTTGACTTCAGGGTAGCTGGATCTGCAGCTGAATTCTGGGTTTCCACTTACCAGCTGTGTATCCTTGAACAGTTCTTTAAACTCTCTAAGACTTCATTTCCTCATATATAAAATGGTAATTGTGCTCCTAACTCACAGGATTTTCCAAGGACAAAATGAGGCAAATATGTAAAGTAGCTAATAAAAGGGTGGGTACGTAGCCGTAGCCGCATCTGCCGTTTTTTGTTATTGACGAGCTGAGGAAGAACAAAAGGAAAACTAGCCTGGAAGTTTCAAATGTTTTAAAGGTCCCTTCTGCTAAAGTCAGTTTAGAAATCCTCCCTCAGAAAGACCATACTCTCCGGGCAGGAAACACAGGCTGCCTTGAAAGAGCTGGGCTGGGAGGCTAGATTCTATACCGGCAGGGCCACAGTCAGAATTTCAGAGTGACTCCTCTGTGCTCTATGACCGCATCATGTGACGTGACAGTACTACCCGTCCTGGACAGGTTAGGTGACTTCACCGCACTGAACAGTAAGTCACCTCACTTTTTATTAGCGGAGCCTTTGCATTTCTTAATCCTACTCTTGCAAGGAGATCTCTAGAGAGTGTCTTTCTCCCTCTCTTTCTCTCTGCTTCTCTCCTCCATAGAAAGAACTCAAAACCCCATTTGGCGTGTTATAAGAGCTGAAGGATTCGAGTTTAAAATATTGATAACACAGTGAGTGGTTGAAAAGCTGCCTTTATCTTTAATATGCCTTAGGCCACTTACGTATTTAATTGGCCCAGTGATCTCCTTTGCTTACATTTAGCATTTATCAGTCACAAGCAGCAATGCGTGGTACGGCATGAACAGAAAATTCCACAGGACCCTCTTCACACTGGGGAAGGGGAACATCTGCTCCTTTTCTAGCAGGATGCCAGGATTTTAGAGGTCAGTGTGTTTCCCCATCAAGGCTTAAGGCTTTGGGGACCAGGGGAAGTGTCGGGCTCCAAGCAGCATAATGAATGACAGTTGCTGGCTGGCTGGGTTTGCCTGTTCTCAACAGGGGATAGAGAATTCAGCGTAATGAGCTGGGACTTGGTGTTCTTACACCCAGCTTGGGGAGTGAGGCAGGCTGTGCCTTTTTTTTTTTTTCCTGGTTCGGACCTGTATTTTCATCTTGGGAGAAATTATATGGAGGTCTTCATTAGTGGCACCCAGCAGGGTTAAGGCTCCATGAAGGCTGATAAGCTCTATGGCTAAAAAAAAAAAAAAAAAAAAACCCACAAAACCCATCAGCCTTTGTGTAGGGAGCCGAAGGTTTAAGTTGCTTGAACTGGAAACAGTCTGAAGAGGTGATTATGTTAAGCGAGTAATGTGTATCGGTAACATGGAGTCAAATTATGAGGGTCAGTAACTTCCTGGCTTTCCCAGTGCATTAAATGAAGACATAACGTTGTGTTTGCGCCGGCTACTTCTTGATGCCACGTAGTGTCAGCACCGTCCGGTCATATGTACTTCACAGCATGTCACCTCTAACTTCATGGGATTATCTGTGCTGTTGCTTTAATAGATACTCATGATCTTGAGCTCCCTTTGAACTCACAGCAGGGCAGTGCAAAGGCATTACTGGGAACACTTCTGGGCTTTTTGTGTTATGTACAAAATTATTATTACTGTCATTTAGAAAGGTAGATATATGTTGCTGGGGCATGCTTCCGAAAGTGTACACGTATTTGATGGCAAGGGGAATTACTGAAGGGGAAAACACTGAATGAGAAAGATCTTTTGGGAAACTAGTATTAGAAAGGTGTCAAGGCAAGTGAATCAGGATTTGAAAGGCATATATATGGGACAGTGGATCTCAAAGCGTGGTCCCCTGGCCAGCAGCATCAGAATTACCCAGGAACTTGTGAAAGATGCAAATCCTCCTGAATCAGAAACTCCTGAGGTGGGATCAGCAATCTCTGTTTCAACAAGCCTTCCGGGTGATGCGTGCTCAAGTGTGTGAACCCCTGCCGTAGGATTTATGGAGCACAAGAATCGGACAGACCCACATGTTCTGGGGTAGAGCAGTAGACAAGACAAATGTAGTACCTCCCCTTATGGACTTTATTAAATTACAAAGGAATATGTGGTACTTCACCCTGATGAAATGTTTATACGTACCCAACAGAGCCTGTAGTTAGCCATATACCATTTTGTTCTTTGTTTGAATGAGCCTGTTATCTTCTTTGCTTGCAGAGAAATGACTAACAAAAGATGACTGATAAGTGATTCCTTTGTGCATTTCAGAACCATCCCCCTTGCGATATGTATATCCATGGCCGTCGTCACCATTGGCTATGTGCTAACAAATGTGGCCTACTTTACGACCATTAGTGCCGAGGAGCTGTTGCTTTCAGAGGCAGTGGCGGTGGTAAGTCTAAGTTGGGAAAATGCCAGTTTGAATTTAGGTTCATGAAATGATGCAATTTTATAGTAGTTCCCTCCAGCAGAAAGTGTTTTGAAATCCAGTAATTCTTTTTTAACTGAATGATAATGAATATTTAAAAAATTTAGAACATACCTTAGCATATTCCATTTAACTGATACAGCTACACTCCTAAATGATTTCTCTGTACTGTTAATTTCATGTAAAACATTTCCACATATGCCTGCTTGAAAACATATTTCCACACATACATGTTGAATAGAAGTCATTATTCTTACAACATGTCTTTAAAGACAGGTGGGCAGTTACTGAGTTTAAATGAATGCATTTTGAGGTATGCAAATTGCAATTGATTCTGTACTCCTCCCTGTTTAGACGCTTTTCAAATGCTAACTTAAAATCTTTTTCCCAAAGTACCACTTTAGAATTTCCAAATGGACCACATAACATTTTTTTTCTAGTATATATATCATTTTGAATACAAGTTCTAGGATATTATTAATTTAAGGAAATACCGAGTTATTCAAAGTTAAGCAGATGTCATTGCTATAGTACTTCTCAGAATATTAGAGAAGCTAATGTGCATTTTAACTCCCTGAGATGCGGATACTCATAATTTTACAGCATTTTCCAAAATTTATTTGACTTCAGGAGCATCTTTTGCTTTCAAAGGTCATGTTATGGGACTGCTATTCTGTGACACAGACTTTTTGGTATAAAAACTTAGCTAGTAAGAGGGCACTCATTCATGACCTTATAACAATGAAGGGTGAAAAAAAAAAAAGAACTTCCCATCACTAGATGTCAGTTCCTTTTAAAATAGTCACTATTACTTCATATCAGAAACATCCACAGGGAACAAATTATCTCATTTCATGTGAACCTATGTACGAGTTCACTGTATTAAAAAAGACTCTGTCCACTGCTGTAGCTTCTACCAGACAACCAAATGCACAGAGCTTCCTGATGTCAGGTCGTCATCTCATCTTACTAGACAAAGGGCAGCACTTAAGTCTTTGAGCGTAATGTGGTCCATTAATTACATAGCACCGGCTGCATCAAGGACAAGTAAAGAATCCCACATTTTTTTTTTTTTTTTTTTTGGAAAATACATCCTTCATGAAAATTTGCAGTGTTGCACATGCCATGCAACAAAAGGAAATGTCAGAAGTTTTGTTTAACTTTTATATTTTCTGTAGCTTGATTTCCTTGGACTTGTGTTGGTGTTCTAGCCCTTTAATAGGAAACTACAGAAGGAATTGGCAGATAACTGAGAGGGCGGGATGGACTTCATAAACAGAGATTCAGCTGATGTGATTATTCTGGGCAAAAGATTTTCAGAACTGTTCATATCCCTAATATACATGATTAAGTCCTCAATTATTTTTTGCCACGCTTTTAAGTCATAACAGTGGGATTGGTATATGAAACAGGTATCTGCAACACTTCTCAGTGTACCTTTGTACTTTGCTATAAAAATGTGGCTTTCCAGACGAAAGAGAAGGTATTATACAGAAGGATTTCTGTCTCTAAAAGGAGAACTTCTGTACTGAGTTTTTTTTATTTACCGGAGTCAGAGACAATAGATATCATAGTTGATAAAGATTTGATCAATGGATCATTGCTCTTTGGAAGTAGAGGGAAGGTGCTTGTTTAGACTATTGCCCATAATTCTGCAACAAGCAAGGACATGGTACCTGCCTTTGATTATTATTCTAAGAGGTTAGTCTGACCCTAACCCAAAAAAAGGATTATAAAACACACACATATCACCAGGTGAACAGAAAGTCATAGAGCGAGTTTGGCCTAAAGTGTTTCATTTTATTCCACTTTTTGGCAGAGCATTTACTTGCTTCCTTCTGTCTTTCACTAGACTTTTTCTGAGCGGCTCCTGGGAAATTTCTCAGTAGCAGTTCCAATCTTTGTTGCCCTCTCCTGCTTTGGTTCCATGAATGGTGGTGTGTTTGCTGTCTCCAGGTGAGTGAGTTCAAGCATTTCTAGAAACGCATTTCTGTGTCTGAGATGGGATGTGATAAGGATAAGTTTAAAAAGAAAAGAAAGAGTGCCTCTAAACCTGCTGTTTTTAAAGGGAAACGCAAGATTGAAATCTTTCTCCAAGTATCAACAGCATGTTCTATTCTGTCCATTAGAGGGCACTGCTTGTCTACTCATAGCCTACTCTGAAGCCAGGGATGAAGGGGTTTTTTTGTTGTTGTTTTAACGTTACGTCTACAGAGTTTAGCAACAACATTTTATTTCTGGCAATAAAATCTTTTGTTTCTCTAAAGGTGACAAGCAAAAAAGTAAAGTAAGAGACACCAGACATCGCCATACCACCATCTGTATCCCTTTTGTTTGATGCAGAAGTCCCTTTTGTTTTAATTTGATGCAAACCCAATCAGATAAATGTGAATGGTGTGTGTGTGTGTGTGTGTGTGTGTGTGTGTGTGTGTGTGTGTTGAGTTGGACTGGACTGATAACACTCGAGCAGTATTAGAAATCTAGAACTAAATTCACCACCAGCTATTTATATGTGGGGTGAATTATGCTGAGTCAGATGTTGCTACCGTTTCTCCTCAAAGGAACGTAACATTTTGGCAGACTTTATAAAATTCGAAGTAATCACCTAAGAAATGTCAAACCATTCGGTACGAAGAAGATGCAAGTTTTCTCTTCGATTTCTGGATTTTTTCCCTTGGAAATGATTAATTATACATTTTTCTCCTGTCAGGTTATTCTATGTTGCATCTCGGGAGGGTCACCTTCCGGAAATCCTCTCCATGATTCACATCCGCAAGCACACTCCTCTACCAGCTGTTATTGTTTTGGTAAATGCATAGTAACGTGTATCTAGATGTACCCTCAAAGAACAGCTTAGCAAAGAGGATTTCAAACTTGACTTCAGCTCGTGCTTTCTGTTCTCTTTCATTGCTAAAGTGGCTCTCTGTGTATCCTGGTGGATTTGCACAGGCAGGATATTTTCCATCGCTTCCCTTCATCCAGTATATCTGATGCATATTTGATGCTTTGGAGCAATAACACGTCACTTCTTTTTCATCTGTGTAGAAATCTGTGAGATCAAAGGGAAATGATTGCCTGGGCTCCTGTCACCGACAGAGAGCCTCGCAGAAAAGGAGGTCAAGTAATAAGTCCCAATTCTACTTATTGAAAGTGGAGCTAAAAGCTACAGTCCCAAAACGCCCAGATGTCTCATCAGAGGCCCCTTATCATGAAATGCATACAAAATTATAGAAACAGTTGACAGGATCCTAGACAGTGCAGGGATTCTGTGCTTGAAAGTGAGAATTTTGAAAGCAACCCTAAATGGGAGAAATAAAAGCACCAAAACTTAAATTTGAGCTGTACGATTCTTTATGCAGAGAAAAGTATTTGTGAAACACGGGATATGAAAGACTGTGTAAGGTGTAGAAGTCCTCAGATCCCCATTGGCAATGTTATATTCTTTTTACCTACTATTTTTTCCCAATAACGTTTCCAAAACCCAAAAACATTTCCCAGAAATGTTTCCCAGTAACATTTTTTCCCAATCTCCTGCTGTCAGGCACACCACAGAATGCACTGAACACTTTTTTACCCCCATCTCCACCCCCCATGGGTTTCATTTGTTTCAAAATATTTCCTTGAAATTTCTTTGTAAAGGCCAGTGGGCGGGTGGGGTACTCTGTGTGGATTCTGGAAATTTACTTCACTTGTGGGAACAGAATGTATTATTTTGTGGGAACAGAATATATTATTGGTGAAGAGGGCTTTCATTTTAAGCCTGCGTTATCAGTCATGCTGTCCTTGGTCTGTGCAGCTGTAGAGACTTGCTCTGCTGAACTCTGCGCTCCATTCTTTTCTGCGGTCTTGAGGGTCACATGTGGCAAGCACCCAGGGAGAGGAAGTGTGGAGGAAGGAAAGGTCAACGTTTTGCACTCAGGAGAGGACACAGTCTCTAGAGGTGGCTGTCGTTCCTGTGTATGCATAGGCAGGGGCTCATCAGACACCATTCGCAGAGTTTTCTGCAAATGTGTGTATTGGATGCGCTTTTGACTTTTATTGTTAGTTATTTACCGACCATCTCAGTCTCTGGGTCTTTAAATTTTGAGTCATTGAGTGTCCTGTGTTTTGCTCTTTGAAAGCACGTTCTCTTAACTCAAATGAAAAACAACTAAAAGCAATGCATGCATGTGTGTGTGTAAAGGGAGAGTAGAAAAGCTGGATATGTAGCTAGGAGGTTAGTTGAGTATAGGTGTTAGGCGCAGTGGTCATTTATCAGTAGAAAGAATCGTTTGGAAAAGATAATAATAATGTGCAGTGATGGTATTGCTTGTTATCACGTGTGTTCTCTTTTAACTCACTGTGCATGATTTTTCTCTCCCCCCCCCCCCCCCCAGCACCCTTTGACAATGATAATGCTCTTCTCTGGGGACCTCTACAGTCTTTTGAATTTCCTCAGTTTTGCCAGGTGGCTTTTTATTGGGCTGGCGGTTGCTGGGCTGATTTATCTTCGATACAAACGCCCAGATATGCATCGTCCTTTCAAGGTAACCTCAGCAATCTTGATGGGTTTACATAAATCTTCCTCCTAATGCCTGGTCCTCCCTTTGTCATAAGTTGATGATGAAGAGCTTGGGCAGAGGGGCAGAATCCTCTGGAATAAAATGTTTAACCCTTGCAGGTCATGCCTTCATATGGGATTTATTTTACTTTGGAAAAATAGTTCATCGGCTTGTTTGTGATGTACTGAACTTTGTAGGTCACATTGCTGAAAAGTGGGGATATTAATATACAATGTTTGTTATATTGATTTTTCATGAATGCGTCTAATGACCTGATATGTTGAAAATATAGACTGCTTCTTTTTTTTTATGCTGAATAAGTTGTGGACAACCATACTGTGAGGCCGATATGTATGAAATCATCACTAATTCAAACTTTAAAAAGGATGCTGCTTTACAAAAAGGCATTTTAAGTGTTCTTAAATGTTATGACTTGTTATATTGCCCCTTTTCTGCATTGTACACTCCAGAAGGAGTACAACTCTGAAATACATAGGGAAAGTGAAGATGTGTGAATATACCACTTAATAGAATGTCCATTTACCATAGCTAAGTGTTTCCTTTTGGGAGGGCTGGCGCATATGCCTCTAGCCTTGAAAGTTCATGGACTGATTTGTCTTTACTATGTATTTGCTTTTAAGAAATAACACCGATAATGTTGTCCGTCATGTTGTCAGAATTTGTTTCTAATTATATTCATTGCCTAATGCCGGCAACATCTTTATTAGTGGTTGAATAGGAGTTGGCCTGTTTTATCCCTGTCAGTTCTTATTGTGAATCTCCAACAGAAAATCAATATGCACTGAAAGGCTTTAACATGTAACAAGCAGCCCGTGCTCTTGGCTCTACATTAAAGTGGATTCTAATCATAATTATCAGAGAACCAATCTTTTACAATCAAAAACATAACTCGTAAAACATAGTGCTTAACTAGTAAAATAGTTCAAACAAAACATCTCTAATGAAACACACTTATTTATCCTTAGATTTTGTTCTACCCAAAGTTGTTTTTTTTTTTTTAAATTTAAAGGAGTGTGTTTAATATAGTCTCTGTGCCCTATGCAAGAGATTTTGCTATAAAGGTATGGTAGATTGGTGCCTGTCACTTGGTCACATGATCAAGGTGTATCACCCGATCACATGACTGATGTGCTCATCTTGAATCCACCTTCTGTCTCTTGAACCACCCTTGAAGTGATTTTCTTCTGTGCTGTGTTCCAGGTGCCGCTATTCATCCCAGCTTTGTTTTCCTTCACGTGTCTCTTCATGGTCGCCCTTTCCCTTTATTCAGACCCATTTAGTACAGGGATTGGCTTCATCATCACTCTGACCGGGGTCCCTGCCTACTATCTCTTTATTATATGGGACAAGAAACCCAGGTGGTTTAGAAGAATGTCAGGTAAGACTTTTAAGCAGTTTCGGGACCTTTTGAGAGACCATGTTGTAGAAAACCCATCTATGTGTACCTATATAACATGCATGCATTAAAGTGTGAAAATATAAGTGGGGAAATTGCTAGTTTGAATACATTACCGTATTCTAATGAGAACTGGTAGAAGAAAAGGCAGGAAGGATGTTGAGGGTAGAGCCACTGAATCCTTTCAGGATATTGAGTTCCAGTTGCTTTAATCACTTCTTAGGAGAAGAAATTTTTAGATAGAATTTTATCAGCAGTTCTGTAAACGACCTAATTGTTCTTCCAAATCCCTTACTAACTTAATTGTTTCTATCCTGGGTTGAACGTAGTTTATTGATTCTGTATGATAACATACTACTTAATGAGTGATATGAGATTTGGTGGGGAGTTAGGTAGAGCCTGCAAAGGGCTTAAATATCATTATTATAACACCACCCTATTGGTGAATCATGGAGGGTCATAAGAACAGCAAGAATGATCATGAGGGGCCTTCCCCGGTGGTCCAGTGGTTAAGACTCCTCATTCCGGGCTTCCCTGGTGGCGCAGTGGTTGAGAGTCCGCCTGCCGATGCAGGGGACACGGGTTCGTGCCCCGGTCCGGGAAGATCCCACATGCCGCGGAGCGGCTGGGCCCGTGAGCCATGGCCGCAGAGCCCGCGCGCTCGGAGCGCGGGCTCAGCGGCGGGGGGGAGCAAGGGAGGGAGGCCCGCCCACCACCAAAAAAAAAAAAAAAAAAAAAAAAAATCAGTAGGTAGGAAGGGTGCTTAGGAACAGCCTCTGTCAGGGGCTCTGCCAGTGAAGCTGTTTTCCTCACATCATCGTCTCATTCAATCCTCCACAAGATCCACGTGTGAACTGGCTGATTTCTATACCCAGATTGGAAAACCAGGGTGCAGGGAGATGGAGAATTTAAGTGTATAGATTTTAAACCATTGAGCTGGGATTTGAACCCACATATGCTGGACTTCAAATTCATGCTCTTTTTAGATTGGGTACCTGTGGGAAGAGAGAGAGGGAGAACTGTATCCAGAGGAGCAGATAGGTTCTTGCTGGTGAGGTTGGTGAGTTTAAAAATCCACTTTTTTTCTTTTCATTCATTTTAATTTACTTACTTTACCATCATTAATTTTTTAAAGCCCAGTAAAAAGTTCAGGGAGATTTCTGGTAAAATTATTAATAAATAATGTCAGTGTTACTAAAAATAAAAAACAAACAACTCTGTGTGTACATATTGCATCTCTAGTGTGCTACACAAACTCATTTAGAAGCTAGTCATTTAAAATAGACTTCTGCATCGCTTCTCGGCCTTTTGGCTAAGATCAAGTGTAAAATAGACTTCTGCTACTACTCTCTATTAGCTTTTAATTGGTGTTTGATATCTTTAGACCTTATACTATTATTTATACCTGCATTTTGTTTCCTAGCTGGCAACATTATTCCCAGAGGAAGTGTTACTATAAAAGTTAGGTTCTTCAAGGTTTACACAGGCACACAGATTGCCTAGCAGGGTATTTAATCTCTGTGTCTTGTTAGATCACACTGGTTTTCGGTAGAGTATTTTTAGTTACGTTTTATCTGTTGTAGGCAATACATAGAGAGCCTTTGCTGAAAAACAAATCCAAGTCTTGTTAAACAGTATTTACCATTAGGATTGCTCGTTACCAATGTTCAGGGTAGATTAGTACTCACCACTGGGGGGGTGGGGGTCTGTGTCCATCTCAGATCCTGGCTAGAGACAATTAAAACCCCTGAATGCACGGAAAACTATGAGAATTTAGGAAGAAAGAGTGGGTAGCCCTAGAGTTGGACTACAGTGTGAGAGACCATGATGAAAGAACAAATTCCTCTTCTTGCGCACTTAGTAGGCATTTTGTCCTTCCTGTTTGCAGTCAGCCAACTGTAAAAATGCTTTCTTTCTGCTAACATGTGCATATTTTATTCCATTTCTTTGCCGGTACGTATCAACTACTGGTTTTCATGCCTGCTCCTTCTTTGATGTTTTTCCATGATCATGTAGTTGTGAAGTTTTCTGTTATTTTTCTGTCTCCAGTGGCGTTTTGAACATCTCCAAGGACTCTAAATGTAGCGTTAGCCATTCGTGAAAGTAGCAGCAAGTAGCAGTCCCATAATGGTTATTTGGTTCTCAACAACGCCATTGAGTCTTACCAGGGAGCGTGGCAATTCTGCCTTGAAACTGCGATCATTGTAACCCTTTATCTTTATAGCTGCCTTTTGAGTGAGTTTGCGAAAAGCAACAATCCTCTGTAATTTTGTTTGATTTCCACTTAGGCAGCATTCTTAAAGTAAAATAAAGAAAATTCATAATATTTATTGCGGCCGTAGCAAGTATTTTCCTAGCCTTTGGCCAAAACAGAACACTCACACACGGACACACAACACAGCAGAGTCCTGAGCCATCACCTCGCCTCTTCTCCCAATTGCCTCCTTGTTGTTAGGGAGAAACTCAGTGTAAACTTGGAGCCAGAGAGCCTCTGCTTGGAGCAGTGTGTAGAGTTAACACCAAATTGTTCTGCTGGGGAACATTCTTTAGCCTTGGTCTGATCACTTATTTTCACCCGAGTATACCTGAACAGATCATCCCTGTGAAATGATAGTTTATCAAAATACATCTTACCAGGGGGGCATCCATTAAAAAAACACAGGGTCACCGAACAGCGTTCAGAAAACAGAGACAGGCTGCTGAGTTTAGATAGCCAGAGAACGTTCAGAACCCGAGAAGCTGAGAGTTTCAGAGACTTGATGAATTTCTCTGGCCACAGGATGCCAGTATTGAACCACGCTTCATTTGATAGCATTCCTGGGATGAAAAGAAAACGTGCTCTTAAGGGAATACTCGGATGTGCAGAGAGCTTTTTTTCCCCCATCCGTGATGGAGTGCTTAATTCATCTGGATCGATTTCTTTATAGAAACACAAGCTTCTCACCCAAGGAAGAGGGGACAGATACCCCACTGACATACTCAAATTCATGGGGATGCTGGAGCCGGCAAACCCCAGCCAGGGCTCCCCACAGCCGTTTTCCTCGGCCGCCTCTGTTTATCCGTCCAACCCCATCACAGCTGGGAGTGCGTGGGGTGACTGGAAGTTGGTCCCTCTGGCTCCGGGCGAGTTGTGGAGGACAGCTGTATTTCAACAAAATCTTTAGTTATAAAGAATCGTACAGGGCAGCACCACAGAATGACCGTTGTCCATCGTGGACAGATTTTGCAAAACCAGAATTCTAAAAGCATGTTCTGCATACGGTGTGTTGTGATCAGTTTGTTTATGATGCTCCGCTGAAAGCTGCCGCATGCATTTGACGGACTCTTCACGAAGACTGAGGTGCGATGTTTTACATGAGTTAAGCTTGCCTGCATTTCTTACCAAACCATCTTCACGGTAAGGGTCAAATGGGGCCATGCATGTGAAAAGGTTTTGAAGGCTTTTCCAAAAAAAAAAAAAAAAGAAAAACGTAGACACTGTTGTTATGATTTCTGGGGAAGTTTGATTCTGTGCTCATGTTTCATAGGCTTATTCCGTTTTGGCTGTAGTTCCCACGCTTGTACCAGGTATGATTGGGTAAATCAGATTTTGCAAGGGCAGTAGTTGTTTCAACGGATTTCAAAAACGACTACTGAACATGGAAGACAAAGCTAAAAATATTTCAATTGCTATTTGGTCTTATAGCTTACATAACTAAAAACACCAAATGCGGACTCAATGGCTCGACTTTATTTAAAGAAATATTGTCAGGGGGCTGATTATCCCCAAAGCCAAAGGCCCTATATGGGTAGGGATGTAGTGGGAGACCACATGCTCTGCAACTTTTTTGGGCATGCAGGAAGCTTCCTCAGAGGCTTACTTGGGTCCGCTGAGCACTGCTCTGTGACCCCCATGGCTGTAGATGACCTGGTGGGAAAAGTTGGTAGGACTCCAAAAGCCACTCAGAGCCCAAATCAGTCACTCTGCTCAAACCTCCATCATGATGAAAATTATTTAAATCTCGAGATCCCAAGAGAGGGCATAAGAAAAGCACACGAGGGACTGTCAACAGGGCTGACTGAGCGTGGAGGTTCTACTGGGTGTGTAGAACGAGGAGAGAGGTTCTTTGGCCCCAAAAGTGCTACTGAGTAGAAGATCCAAATGGAGCTTTCAGGAGGGAGAATGCCACACGAGCGAAGCAACAGGATCTCTTAAGTTGTTCTCCCTTTGTCTGGAACCCATGCAGTGTGGTGACATGGGTCAGTAAGATGTCTAAGAAAGTCGAGGGCTGAGGGCTGCAGAATACAGAGGCACACTTTTGGAAAAGGCTTTCATTTGGGGCATGGAGGAGTAGATGCTGCATTAAAAAAAAAAAAAATCTCCGTAGACAACTGCATAAATAGTCACACACGTGCGTGCACGCGCACACACACTCAAGAACGGCCGTCGTTATGGAGACTAGTTCGAGTAGCGACTGCAGGACTTCTCCAGAGAGGAAGGGCTGCAGAGCACGTCACCTTAACCCCACCGCTTTGCATTTGACCATGGCAGAACTCTTGTTATTTAAAGCTATCAGTTAGTCCTAGCTCCATCTCTGCCCGCAAAAGCCACATCGCCCTTACTATTGACTGCTATCTACTTTTCCACAGTCTATTTTTCTAGGATAATTCTATCATTTCCCTTTTCTGTAAACATGAACTTCAATTGCTCTTGAGCACTCCCTTGTGCTCCATGTACATCTCAATGTCAAGAGTGGGCTGTGACAGAATAGAATTCATTCGAGAAACATTTACATAGAGTTTACCTTTTGCCAGAATGATGCTGGACCCTTTGTAATGAATGTATATTATAAAAATCAGTGTGCTGAGGAAAACAACTTGGGAACACTGTTAGAAAATAAAGGATGAAAAACGTACCTTTTTTAGTGGCATTAAATATTGCTGGGAAGGGACTCTTACAGGTGACAAGTCATAAAAGAGGAGAAAGATGGCCTGTCTGGATG